GTAGATTCCCCTACTTTACTATATTATTATTATTTTGCAATATGAATGAGGGTATGGTTCGAGATTTTGTCTCACATTTTCACTTAATGGGAGGGGCATTTCATAGACGCTGTGTGTATTGCTTTGTGTACATTTCGCATGCGATTTCCTGCTCATAACTCACGCTTATCTGTCTTCCTTCATGCTTACCGTTATGTATGATGTCTTTCTTTTTAAACCCTTTAGTCATACTATTCCACTAATGAATTGGCCTGTAAGCTGTTGCCCTGCCTCTCTTTCGCTTTGGTCGACCTTGATCGTGGAGTCCGAGAGAATGCTTTCAAAGCGGTCCATGGGATACTTGAACGACTAGAAAAGGTAAACTTTTTAATTTTACTCGTTTGTGATTGTGTTATTTCTTATCATTGGAGTAACTTTGTTAAATATATAAATGCATTTTATATAAGCCTCCATTCGTTTATTAACCTTTTGTAAAATGATTTATTAAATATTTTAGCCGTGCTCTATTCCCTTTTAATGCGAAATTGACTATATTTTTTACCCCACCTCAATTCAAGCAGAGTCCATTTAACCTTCAAACAACATGGGTCTAAACTAAACACGCTACTTATACCGCATATATGTATTGTTCATACTACTTTATTTTCATTATATATTTCTTGTAAAGATATTTTGATTAGACCATTCGTCTTAATACCACAATCAACTAATAACTTTTAGTTAATAGCTAACTAAATGTACATTATTCTATTTTGCTAGGAATGCTTTTGAGACTCAATAAGAAGTAGAAACTGCAATCAACACAGTGCACAAAGCCATATCTGACTTGTTTTAGGTGAAATCTAATTCTTATTTTAGACCCATTGTTATGCAAATTATATGATACCTTTTCTTTCTAACGAAACCATCTTTGTTTTTCTTCTTTCCGTACGTTTTTTACTTCAGGCTCACGAGATTCCTGAGCTTGAAGAGTCCGAAGACTCCACTGAGCAAGCCACGATCGGCTTATCTCGAAGCTCGCTCGCAGTGACTGCCGGCAGCCAAGCCCTGGCACACTGGGCCGCCTCTGCTCTAGCTTTCTCCACGCTCCTCTTGCAACAAGCCAGCAACGTAGTTCAGACATCATTCACTACTCCGGCCAGCACTAATTCGCCTGAATCACAGACAGACCCTGCCCCGATAGACACTGTAAAATTTCCATCGGCCTCTGCATCGCTTGAATCTGTCACTGCGACAACGGAAGCTGCTCCCCAGTCTCGTTAGTCATAATTGGCGATGGTTTTAGCATAACTAACGGCAACAATTCTTTATTGATTAATGATTTACGCTCTACTTATGACCTC